AAGTCAACAGCGATGCTCCTCACGTGAGCCAGGTTTTAGCAGACCATTCACTAAAGCTTGGAATTAATTTTGCCCTGTTTCATCCAGTCAGCTTAAAATAAAAATACATGCAAATGACTTTTGGCAGGTGCACAAAAGGACAGGGCGAAGCAGAGAATTAGTTCCAATCTCAAACACTGAAAATATATATATTTACACTTGAAATGGGTGTCTCACTTGCACTTTGCAGTGGTAATTATTCACCATTGGCTCCTCTTCTGCAGTTCAGGTTGGATTTGCTGCAGATGAAAAATGCCTCGTGTGGGTGGCAAAGCATGACAAGGGCATGGACAGGGACCTTGTAATTCTGTGTTTCCACCATTGATTTGGTCTGGTCTTAATGATTCCTGTCTCTGAATTAGCTGCCTATGGATGTGTAACACTATCACAGTAAACATACCATCCATCTGACATGGATGGAGGGATGCATGGGTTGACATCTGAGCCATAAAAGTGACGCAGTTTGCAAAACAACCTCAGCAAAAGGAACAAAACAAACTGAAAAATAGCTTGTCCATTGATTCAGGCAGAAAACAGAAAAATGCCAGATCAGAGCTGATGTACTCCACCACGTCCTGCATCCTGGTCTGTGGCGTGGAGTTACATCTTTATCAGGAAACTGAGCACTTCCAGGATCCATTCTGGCCATGAAGCCAACTGAGCAGTGCTGGCCCCATCCTGGCTCCTAAAATCGTCCACCCCTGATATGGAGCAGCTGCATCCAAACTTCTGACTGGGGACAGTCTCTGGCCAGTGTCAAAGCCTGGGCAAAGCTGTGCCTGAGCCCAGGGCTCCTTGGAGTGGATCAAAACCATGCCAGGGAAGGTTTGAACAATAACAGTCAAGATGGTGGAGCCCTCGTGCCTCGGCGTTGCCCTGGCATGGCACAATTGGCTGGTTTAGATGATCCCAGGGTGAATCCAGCACCATAAATGTGCCAGAGAAGTTGCCCACCAATCTTTTGATGTGAATAAATGCACTCTCAACCTTCTCCATGGCGGTTTGGAAAGCTCCTCATGCAGTATCTTCTGGCCCAAAGATGGGATATAGTATAAAAAAGGTACCAGGGAAAAGCTGAGGAGTTAAAATCAAAGTGAAACCAAAACAAGTCGCTGACCATCCTGCAAAGTGCACACCAAAAATACAAAGGGCTAAAAAAATAAAACAGGAGGAGAGGATGAGACTCTTAGCACTGGGATTAGTACCAATAGAGAGCTGGGGTAGTTTTCCACCCTGAGCTTTTGGCATGGCAAAAGGCGCTGTTTGGCAACAAGATCACAGGTAATCCCAAAAGGAAATGGTCACCACCCCAACTGTCCACCAGGAACACGCTGGGAGTAGTGGCAGAGCACGAGCTTTACGTTAAGGCTGTAATGAAGTCCTGGAAAAAGAAATAGTTCTTCAGGGACGACAGAGGCTCTCCCTGGAAATCCTTTGCTAAATGAAGATGCTGATGGAGATCATTCAAAGAAAGGAGAAGCAGAGGCAGAAAGTTTATGTAAGTAATGAAACAGTCTTAACTCGCAGTGGAGGCACCTGCCTTTGTTGTTATCCACACTACGAGCCACAAAGGAGGAGGACTTTGGAACAGGGATTTGTCAAGCCCTTGGTTAAGCTGGTTTGGTTGTGAGAAGTTAGCACTGCATTGAGAAGTAAGGACACTTCCAGAGTGTTTTGCCCCTCTGCCCCCGGCGCGGGGCGGAGGTGCCGGCTGTTGGTGTGGTGGTGTGGAGTAAGATCCCGTTCCTGAGGGAAGGCAGGCTGGAGTTGCTCAGGAGAGGCAACACTGAAGGGTCTCCTCCTCCTGGCACCTGGTGACTGTGCCTTGGCTCCTTGTCACTGTCCTGGTGGGAAGGGTCCAGCTGTTCAATGGGTGATCAGCACCAATTTCCAAGGTTGATGAGTTTGGGGAGCAGGACCTTCTTACGGTGCTTTTGAAAACGATAATGCCACCTCCTGGGAAAAAATGGTCCCCGAGGAACAGCAGGGCTGTTTGCCATCCATTCCTTTCTCATGCTTTTGCCACGGAAATGCAGGTGTGAGGAGGAGAGCTCTTCATGCAAGGACCAACGTGGGGAATTAGATCAAGGTAAGTCTACACTAACATTAAAGGCAAGTCAAAAGAAAGTTCTGGAAGGAGAAATGCAGGCCTGTAGCTGGAGGATGGGCACCTCCGTGTTTTTAGGACTCAGCAGCTGGGGACAGCGAGTTCACTTCACAAATTACCTCTTTTTATGGAGACAGCACACTGATCAGGGGAGAAAAAGGGTGAAATGTTAGTAGGACACTTGAGAAGGAACTGGCTGTGGAGCACAGACAATGGAGAAGGGAAATGAAAGCTTTTCACAAATATATATCAGTTCATGTGTATATATATATATATGTATTTATATGCATTTATGTGCACAGCAAACAAAGGATTGGGGAGTTAGATAGGGGATGGCAAGACCAAATCCCTCCCTTTGCATGAAAATGTGACCATCACATTGGTTGTAATCAGAGCCCAGAAACATCTGCCTGAAATGGAGTTTGACTGGGAATTACAGTACCAGTGACAATTTGGCTTTGTATAAACTTTGCCGTGTGTCTATAGTTTGGCGTGAAGGAGTCCTGCCCTCCTGGAAAGGGACAGACACCAGTTAAAAGGTTCCTTTAAAAAACAAAATGAAATAACTGAAGAAACCCCAACGTTTTCTCAGAACACTGCAAAGGATCACTGATTGAAAAAAATGTTTCTCTTCAGGTATATTCAGGCGAAGAAAGCATTCAGCTTCTTTAAACTGTTATATAAAATTGGTACTAGTTTCTTTAAAGACTATCATAATTAAAAAAAACAACTGATTCCTGAAATTAAAAAAAAAACATAATCATAATTAAAAAATATCCCCCCATGCTGATCTTCTCTTCAGAATAGGTCAGCATGGGAGTTTTGCACCCTAGACAGTTACAGTATTTCTGGAATAAAAAATTGCAATTACACACAGAAAATACTACAGCATTCACTTAAAAATATCTCATTTTGTTGTTGTTGTTTTTCCCCTCCCAAGCAGAGGGATGGTGGGATTGAAAAGATGCCCTGAAACGGGAATATTCCTTTAAAGGAGCAATACTCTCGAAACGGAAAAAGGTCATTGGATAGACGCAAACCCGGTGATTTAACTCGGAAAAAAAAACCAAACAGAAAAACAAAACAAAACAAAACAAAAAAACCAAAAATCAAAAAAACCCCAAGAGATTCCAGCACAGAAACAGAATCCGAGAGAGATGAGAATGTTCAGACACTGAGTGGGTTATTTGGAAATGTCAAAGACAACCCCACAGCTTTGCCAGCTTCGGAGGTGGCAGCATCTCCTGGCGGTGGAAGGCTAAGCTAAACCACGGCGCTCTCGCTACGCTCTTGGATTTCCTCTGGTTGTTGTTTCTCGCCATGTACTTACAGTAGAGGGTGACACGAGACAGTTTTTATCAGCAGTTCCCCACACGTAACCGAGTCGAAGAATTTTTCTCAGCTAAATCACAACAACAACATCAACAAAAATACAAAGCACCAAATCATCTCGAGACGTGAGTCAGTTTTACAGGTTATTACCGTTTGAAGAAGTTTTGTTGGTTGTTTTGTTGTTGTTTGTTTTTTGTGTTTTTTGTGTTTTTTTTTTTTTAATCCCGACTTTTCATGTTTTGTTTTCCTTAAAAACAAAACAGAAACAAAACAAAAAATCAAAACCCAAAAATCCCCAAAATGGAACGAAGGATGCTTTACAATCACTTTAAGGCTCGCACTGAATGAGACATGACAGGTCTTACACGAGATTACAAATAATACATGTATGCCTTTCACAGCCTTAAAATGATACAGTAGGTCAAATTATTTTGCCAGTCACTGATCAAGTATTGTGCCTTTAAATTGACTCGCTTTTTGCTACCATGCTGAGTTTTATTATTACTGAAATAATTATTAGAGATGTGGAAATGTACTTTCGGATCATGTTTTTGGTTTATAATTTTGATAATTTCTCATTTTCCAGAAATCAAGGTGGCAGGCCTTATTCTGGGCTCAGACTGTTGGTATTTGCTCCACTGGAGACAGTGGGGCTTTAGCACGAGCAGTTGTTGGGAACAAGATCAGATCCTGTATTTTCACACTGATCTGGTACAATCCCACCTTTGTACAGGGTCCGTTTCCACAAGGAAAACGGTTCCAGGGTGGGGTCACCTTTATAACACAACTCGGTCAAGGCTTGGCCCAATGGTGTTATAAATTCCTTGCCAAATTCTCTTACAGACCTGATTTTGTCTTTCAGCTGTTGGAAAAATCAAACTCCATTGGGGTTGTCTTGGCTTTGCTTTCTTATCTTTGCTTTCTTATCTTTAGACATTTGGAGGGTTTTTACTGCTAAATCCAATAAGAGCAACAGGATTTGCTTGGGGTTTTTTATACATTTCTCTGTTTTTGTTGTTGTTAATTTTTTTTTTTAATTTTAAGGTTTGCATTTCAGTTGGATGGTTGGTTTTACTTTTGTTTGCTTTTTTTTTTTCCTGGCATATAATCATCAAAGAGTTTTGCATGAGAAAGGTGACAGTACTTAATGAAACTCAGCACCTAAGGGCATAAGGCAGTTGTAGGTTTGTTTGTTTGTTTTTTTTTTTTATTTTTCAATCAGCACCAATCCCATAAATAATGTTCTACACTTGGTGTACGGTATAAAACTGATGTGGAGATGCCTCCTTCTCCACCTGTGAATCCTAGGTGTGGAAGTTGAAATACTGTTTCTTGTGTGTAAAAAACAAAAGAAAAGTTTTTCTTTTTGTTTTTACTTACAAAACATAGAGAATATCTTTTTTTTTTTTATACATACAGCAACCAGAAAGAAAGCTTATCTGAAGGTTTGTGTTTGTTTCATGATCTGTGTTTACCGTAAACAAAAATAAGGTCCCCTCTTTTACTTTTGCTTTAAGGAGCTTTAAAGTGAAGATTCATATTGTAGCAACTCATATAAGAGAGGTCCATCTCTATACCTAATACCTACAGCTGTGGGGGTGACATATTGGAGGATGTTGATAGTTCTTCTTAACCTCCTGTCTACAAAATGAGCATCCCAGGCAGGATATCTTTTTCTTGGGATGTCAATCTTAATGAGAGGCCCCTCGGGGGGGTAGGGTCGCCCAGATGGAGTAGATGGTACCATTGCTCTCACCTGGAAAACGGGCAAGCAAGTGTCAGCTGTGAGTTCCTCCTGTTGCTCCGTGACCGCTCTGGTGGGCGTAGCCTGGGCCCCCCGGTACCCAGGGGTTTGGGGCGCCATGGGCTCAACATCGGGGGGCAAAGGAATGCCCCAGAGCAGCTCGGCGCAACAGGAGCTGGCAAAGATCTTAGCTCTTGGCCCCATGGGATGCAGCACACCATAATATAACAGCATCAAAGCTATCCCAGCAGCAAAGCTAAGAAAGACACAACACAGTGCTGGCACGGCATAGGAGTCAGTGGTGTCAGGATCTCTGTAAAAATACCAAAGGAGCGTCAAGGCAGCGTTCTCCGTCAGGACCACCGTGTAATACGCAAACATTCGGTATCGAGTCCGCCCTTCCTTGACATTAAACCAGCAGAAAATGTACACAATCCCTACCACCATGTTGAAGAGGATCTCCTCCCACTTAGACATGCAGAAATCTGTCCCACCATGGATGATCCAGAAAGCCATGGCACACCAATGGACCACTACAAAGATCCCAAAGTAGAGCTGGAAGATGGAAGCAAAGAGAGCAAAAGAAATAACTCGGGATGAGATGGTGAAGAGGCGCCAGAAGAGATGGATGAGGGCCCCTCTGTAGCTCATACTCTTCTTGTCGTCCCTAGAGTCCCGAAGAAGCTTGTGATAGGAGGCTAGCACCCAAGCCAGGGACATCAGGGAGGCCACAGAGGACACACCTGCCGGAAGACACACAGATCCACTGAGTTAGACAGGAGCTTTGGTGGAAAACATCATCTGCTCACTAAATTATTGCATCTGGGGCAGGCTCAGGAGCCTGAAGGTTCAACTCACGTCAGGTTGTCCTTACAGTCTGGAGGAGAGAAATACAGAGATATCAGTGTGGGAACTGGAAATGGTGTGTTCAGGAGTTCTCTGACTCCTTGTCCTTATCTTCCCGAGCCACTGGACTGGCCACCCCACCCCAGCTGTTCCAGCAGGGAACAGCCTCTGTGCTCATCCTGACTGGATCCACATTTGAGATTTGAAATCCAGATCCCATCTGAATGCTGAAGCCCAAGTGTGAAAGTTACTTTCTTGGAGAGCAGAATCTCTCTTGGAATGCACCATGGCAAGAGCAGGACACCTGCATTCCCTGCAAGTGCATGGATTCTTTTTTATTCTAAAATACTTTTATTTAAGCAACATTCCCATTGATTCTGCCTAGCTCAGGAATCCCCATTTGCATTGCCTTTCATAAAAACAAGGTTTTTGTCCCATACAGATAAACATATAAATCCAGGGAGCATCATGACTCATCAATACCCTCAAAAGAGTCCCAAGACAAAGGATCTGATGTCTCCAGGAAATCCCCTGCCTTGTTTCCAGGATGGACCCAAGACCTATACTGGAGGTAGCTCTTCTCCAGTCTTGTCTCCTGGCTGGAGCACAAATCCAAGTCACAGTCAGGGAAGGCACAGCCTGCACTGGGGTCACCTTCAGCTCCCAACATGTCCCCCTGCCCCCTGGTGGGGCAGAACCCCCCCATGATATTCCAAAGGGACCTGGTCTTATTCTCCATCCCAACCAACACTTAAACAAGTTATTTCCTCCAGAAGATAAAATAGCGGCCCCACCACACCTGAGAGGCTTTAAAAATTATAATTCCATTGATTATCACAAGGGTAGATTGAACAACTCATGGAGCAAAGCATGGCAATAAAAATTAATTGAGAGATTCCTGGGAAAAGAAAGAGCTGCTGGCATCTTATTCCTTTGCCCTCACTGCTGCTCACTGGACAACTGTTCTACAGGTGAGGAAACAGGTGATGAACCAAAATCCATATTTGGGAAGCTCAATAATTTGTTAGCTATGGTTGGATTGGGCCCTAGCCAAAGATTTATCTGGGAACAACATCGTTAAAGTCCAGAGGAAGAACTGCTAATGGTTCCAGGCAGAACAATGAGAAATGCCCCTCCATCTCTGACATGTAACTGAGTGATAGGTCCAGATCTGATTTGGCTTTTACTTCTTTAAGAAAATCCAAAGAACATCTTGCTACAGCTGCTCAGAATTAAACACGTAAAATGTCTGAAAAACCTCAATTTCTTCTTCTCCTATTTTCTTTCTTCTCTGCTCACAGGGGCCTGGCTTCCATGGGAATGCAAATAAGGTCCATTGACTCCTCAGACCTCACTCTATAAAATTTATCTTGGTTTTGAGAAGCCCACCCCACAGTGTGGCAGGGTTGGATTTCCCTCCTTCCAACCTATCCGTGTCTGGAGGAGAGATGTTGGAGAAGAAAGCCAGGAAGGATGGCAGATTCTGACTCTGCCCTGATTGGAATTCTCACAGCCTGCAAGGTCCACCAAAACTATACCTTTTCATCAGCTCTCGAGTTTCCCTCTGAATCTCTTGTCTTTGGGCTCAAATATGCATTAGAATTTCAGATGGAATTTTAAACAAACAGCAAAGCAGTGATAGCAGTGGCCTTATCCAAGAGGGAAGATTTAAGCCACAAGCTTTAAGAAAATCACAATTTCCCCTGAGTTCTAAGTCCTCTCTAAGAAACACTTGCACATAGGACTTGGGGATTCCAGCCACAGACTCACAGAATGGTTGGAGTTGGAAGGAAGCCCTGGAGCTCATCCAATCACTGTGCCAAGATAGGATCACCTGGAGCAGGTGGCACAGGAACACATCCAGGTGGGTTTGGAATGTCTCCAGAGAGGGAACTCCATGCTCTCCCTGGGCAGCTGTTCCAGTGCTCTGCCACCCTCAGTGTAAAGAAGTTCTTTCTTATGTTGAGGTGGAACTTCTTGTGGTTTATTTTATGGCCACTGCTCCTCATCCTGTCACTGGGCACCTCTGCAAAGAGTCTGGCACCATCCTCTGACACCCCTTGGAGGTTTTTATATGGATTATCAAGATCCCCTCTCAGTCTTCTCCAGACTGAACAGGCCCAGCTCCCTCAGTCTCTCCCCATAATGGATGGAAACCTCTAAATATGAACAGCCTCATACTCAGGCAGATGTAGATTAGATTCATTTTTAACCTGCAAGATGAGTTACATTTTGGGTAGACTTTATTAACAGTTTTGGAAGGTTGAGTCATGCCACAAAGGTTTGTTATGTGTATAAGTACTGTTTGTTATGCTATCTCTTGGCTATTCAGTTTAAAAACTTTCCATGATTAGCTGGGAAAAAATATGTCATTTATTGCCTTATTTTAGTGCTGTTTTACTAGAAACTTGCACAGCATTAGCTGTACCTGTACAGGGAAATTCAAACAGCACCAACCCACAGGAGACAGATGTGTCACCCTGGATGAAAAACGTTTCTGTTGGGCTCATTTATTCTAGAAAAGAGAGGGGAATAAAATACACCCAAAACAATCCCCCAGTTTGCACATAAAGGCTTTACCTAATGTTTCGAGGGCAGAACCCTCCACTAATCACAGCCTTTGCTGCAAATTGCAGAGAGCTGGCTCAGAGTGCGTGCGTTGAGTCACTCGCACGGCACCCGGGCTGCTGACTGTCATCTGAACATCTCCTCCAGCCAGCAGAGAGAGGCAGACACCCCCAGAAAGTGATTCAGCCTGTCCTGACATCCGTGTGTGGGACAGGGAGGGGTTGACTCATGCTCCCAAGGTGTCTGACTCCATCCCTTGCCAGGGGACCAGCAGTCAGGCGGGATGAGTCCCCCCCGTACAGAACAGCTCATTGTCTCTTCATCTGCACCAAGATCTGAGGGATCTCTGGGCTTTTTGACATATTTTTGCCGTTGTTTAAAAGTTCACAAGTCTGGTGTTGAATGTGAATTTGGCACTCTGGTGATGAGCAGGACCTGGGTGTAAGGGGGGAGATCTGTAGGTGGATGTCAGCAGGAACCACGGAGTAATGTAAAGACTTTTACATCACTCTTACTTCCTGCTGTGTTGCCACAGAAATTATTCCCTGGCTCTTTCATACAGATCTAAGTGACACAGCATTTTTGTCATCTTGACCACAAGTTTCCCATTCCCAGCTTTCTCTGTGACTTCTAGCCTGTGACATCTTCACATAAGTTACAATTCTCACAGACTGTGGGATAAACTGTTTGTCCTCCCGACTTCTTCAGACCTTATTTCTAAGCAACTGTGGAGATCTCTTCAATTATAACTAAAACAAAAAGTCCTGAAAAGTTGGATCACATGAGCAGTAATTTTTTATTTTGATTGTGACTCTTGCACGTGGGAACTGACGCACCTTCCAGTAGGTTTCAACTCCCTCCCAAGGTTTGTTTACCAAAGGGATGATGTTGAGTAAACACTGAAGTCAACTTCAAAAAATTCCCACTCCCACTCTTCCCACTCTCTTCTCAGTCTTGGGAGTGGAACATCCCCACCATGCACAACCACATCTCTAGGCATTTTTGAGCCAGGAGCAAATCAGCTCCTGTGGGGCTGGAAGCCCTGTGGCTGCAGCTCTATATCCCATACAGATCCCATAACCTGCCCACAACGAGTCAGACTGGCACAGACTGGGATTCTCTGCAAACCTCTCTGCCCTAGGAAGCCATGAGTGACCCACAGGCCAAAGTCAGCACCACTGAGGAGTCAAATCCCTGTGTCTTGAATGACACAGCACAAGAAATAATCCCCCAGCTTCCTTTAGGAATGAACCCTGAACTCCTTGCAGTGAGACATCTGCTCACCCACATTCAGCACAGGGAGGCAGAGCTCTGTAATGTCCCATTTGACAGATGAAGCACCAAGATTTGAAGGATTTACCCAAGATCTCGTATAAAATCTAAGTTAAAGCAGGGAATAGTTCTCCTTCACATCACAGTGTGCTTGACAAGACATTTCAGACAGGATTCAGCTCCTGCTGTAGAGACTCCCCCCAGGGTGTCCGTGGTTAAATGATGTCTCTTGGCTCAAAGGAGGATCAAAGCTTAGTGCAACCATCACAGGTGGGAATCCAGCAATTGAGATGCTTTAGGATATTCCAGACTGCCACGTGGAGCTGGCAGATGTGACAAACTTGCATACAGAGCACAAGAACATTTCTGAACTGAGAGCTGGAGTAAAGGAAGGCACTCAGGGCATTTCAAATGACACCAGCTGAGACTCAAAAAAATTCTGCCTTTTTCAGGGGAGCTCACAATCGCCCTTCAATGATAAACACGTGTGGCACAGAGGCTGTGCAACAGGAAATGGCACAGGGAGATGAGAAAGCAGAGGGAAATAAGGCAGGTGTATGAAAGTTAAATTTCAGAGAACGTCAGACCAAGGAAGAGATTCTCTGAGAAAGGGAAACAAGAGCTGTTGCTTTGGGTCATGAAAACACGAGTGGACTTGAGTAAAATGCAGACAGTGATCTGATACCAGAGGAGAGGAGCCTGAACCACTCTGAGTTCAAGAGAAAGTGCTGAAGCTCACAGGAACACCCTGAATTTCATCCTGGTTTGGTTTTCCTCCTCTCGTTCCTACCCATGGTCCAGAAAAAGAAAAGGTCATCTCAGATTTGCAAAAAGGCTCTCTGGAAAAAACCCCATCCACATGAAAGAAACAAAGCAATGGCTCCCCTGAAATTGCCATTGCTGATTTTAAAGCCTAGGAACAAAAACAGTGCAGGGAAAGCCACTCCTGTCTATCTGGTCTATTCAGAGTTTTACAACCAATCTAATTGAAAAAATCACACACACACACACACACAGGGAAAGCCACTCCTGTCTATCTGGTCTATTCAGAGTTTTA